TCGCATGAGAGGTTCAAAACAGAGCATTGCAGGATATGTTCATGATATACTGAGCAACCCATATGAAAATAATATCACGTTGAAGACAATTAATACTGAATCAGTACTATGTCATAAGCGATTTTTTCTTGAAAGACAAAGATCATAGCTTCCTAAATGTTAGCGTTTCAAATAATGTATTGTATACAAATTTAGATAGTAATAAGATAACACGAGCTAATAATAAATGCATGGTAAATTTGTTACATCTTAATATACAGAGCCTACGACGAAAGGTTAACGATATAGCGTTATTAGGTCTTGAACACAGTTATGATGTAATTTGCTTAAATGAACACTAGTACTTAAATGACGAAATTAACTACGTTAATATAAACGGTTATAAATCCATTTCTAATTTTAGCAGTGTGAAAAAAATTCATGGTGGTGTTGTCATATATATAAAAAAGCATTCAAATGCTTCACCTTTACGCACTTCATGTCTGATAGAGGCCGAAGAATTGACGTTTGACGTTGCAGGCATATATTTTGATAAACTTCAGATTCTCACTATATACAGATCTCCTGCAGGTGACTTCAATAGATTTATAAATAAGCTATGTATTACATTAGACCAGCTTGACTATGAGAAGCATGTAGTGGTAACTGGAGATTTTAATGTTAAATTTGGTAGCAATGACGAAGTTATTGATATGTTTAGATGTTATGTAATGCAACATATGATCAGGGACAGTACAAGAGGATCGAATTGCTTAGATAACATTTTTACGAACATCCAAGGCAGCTTTTTTCTCAAAACGAATATATTTGATACTTACTTGTAGGATCACCTGGGGATCGAGTTTTGTTGTTTCCAACCTAGTAAAAAAAACATCTTCAAAAGGGTCAATTACTGATACTGGTCTTTTTCTACTCTACAGCAGCCTAGAAAGTACTGGCTGGCAAATTGTAAATGATGCAAATCTAAACGTGGAGTTGAAGTTTGAGCAGTTCATACGTGTTGTGACCGTTGCGGTGGGTAAATGTCTACCAGAGAAGACACGCGTTTTCCAAAATAAACATAAACAAGTCCAATGGTTTGACAATGAGTTACATGGCATGCGCGATCACTTAACTTTCTTAATAGAATTGCATAAGATCGTTTCATCAACTGTAACTAAATCCGAAATAAATTGCCTGAAATCCAAGTACAGAGCTGAAATAGTAAAACGTAAGCAAGATGCACACGATGTATATATAAACTCATCAAATAATAAACAGCAAGCGATGTGTAGTATTATAAAAAACAATGCAGCTCCTGGCGTTAAAAAAATTACCACAACACTAAACGCTAACCAGTTTAATTCATTTTTCACCACCGTTGCTAATAACCTTTTAGAAAGCTTACCGTCACATGGCACTTCACCACTAAGCTATATGGATAATCATAGTAGGAAAAATCAATCTTCTTTTCGTGATGTTACATGAAGTTAGGGATGCGACTAATTCTATCAAAAACTCTAAAAGCACCGACGAATATAAACTTAATAGTAAAATTGTGAAATCGATGTTAAACGTAATTATTTACCCGCTTACTAAGCTTATGTGTGTTTGGAATCAAATATTTTCCCCGCGGCTCTAAAAATATCCAGGGTAATTCCTATATATAAAGACGGGTCTGTTGACGAAGTTTCGAACCACCGTCCTATATCATTGGTACCCTACTTCGCGAAAATCTTTGAAATTATACTCAAGGACCAACTGATCAATTATCTCGAAACCAACAAATTCCTAAGTTCTCATCAATATGGCTTTAGAACAGGCTTATTAACCATTACTGCAATAAACAGTTTTATTGACATTACACACGATGGATTTGAAAATAAGCAATATATAGAGGCAAATTTCTTCGTTCTGAGCAAGGCCTTCGATTGTGTATGGTATGATATACTTCTTTCAAAGCTACCGTATTACTCAATCGATACTTCTGCTGTAGTCCTCCTGAGATCCTATTTAGAGCAAAGGCAACAGCTCGTCGAATACAATGGCTGCACATCGTGTCAGCACAGTTTTACATGGCGTGCCACAAGGATCTGTCCTTGGCCCTTTGTTATTCTTACTCTATATAAACGACCTACCAAATTGTCTTCTTAATAGTATCAACAGTGAGCTCATTCTTTATGCTGATGACACCACTCTGATCTCAGCCCACGATTCATTTACAAACATCAACAGCGAAACGACGGCCAGTATATCTAGCATTCAGAATTGGTTTATAGCTAACAAATTAACACTAAATTCAAACAAATCTCAAGCCTTGACAATCACACTTCGAAATAATAATCAGAATGGGGACCACGCAAAGCTTGTGAAGTTTCTTGGTGTCTATATCGACTCCTCCTTGAACTGGGATGAGCTTATCAGTCATGCTACCAAATCTCTAACAAGCATAATTTATTTAATTCGCAATTTAAAACACTGCACGTCCTGTTGACTAGTTACCATGGGTACTTCCATATCAAAATGACATACGCCCTTCTGTAGTGGGGCCACTCTCCCCACATGTGCAGAGTATTTGCCCTACAAAGAAGATATATCCGATATATAACAAATCTAAAATATAGAGATCCGTGCAGATCTGAGTTTATCAAACTAAAGATCATGACTTTGAACTGCCTCTTGCATGTCAAGTCAAATCCTGACCTTTATACAAGCCACCATGAAACTAATTCATATAATACCCGGCACCGAGACAACTTGTACACAAAACAACATAGACTTGCTAAAACAAGGAATCGAGTTAACTAAGATCACTAGCATACAATGAATTCGGTAATGCTGTGAAAAAATTGCTCTTGTCGGCTGCTTTTTTCACCATTGATGAGTTCCTCAACCGCAACTTCTCCACGGATACTCAATAGTTATATTTCAAGCTACATCTCCTTTTTTTGCTACTTATTCGGACCATGTATAAAATATTTATTTCAGTTCTATCTCTTATGCCATTTATTTATTGATTTTAACGTAGTTTGTAATAATTTTAACTTTTATACTTTTATTGTCATCCTCTTAACCATACTTATGTGTGTGTAATCTGTACTGTTTGTTATTATATGTATTGTTTGTTATTTATTTTCCTCTTGTTACTGAGCGCTTCTATTATATTGACTTGTGTAAGCACGTTCTGTGCAATAGCAGCAATAAACCATTATTATGGATTCGACAGGATATAACTCAGGTTCGGGGTATCGCCGGCACGCCGACGCCGGCAGTGCTTATATAGCGTGTGTTTATACATTATCATGTCGTCTATAGATACAGCAGATGAAACTGAGAATATTTCTCTCAATTCTTCCTTCATTCTCTTCAGAGATGTCTCCTCCCCGAAAACGTGACAAGAAAGGACATTTGAAGATTCAGGTAAAAGAAATTATCTTTAGCGTTTATAAGGGCGAAATTTTAGAGCATACTGAAATGAAAATTCATGATATTGAAAGACGTGTGGCGAATAAAACAAGCTGATGTCCTAAGACAATTTTCAACATTCTTTAAGAATATAAAGAAAAAACAAAAAAATTGTATTCACCACACAAGAGGCTGCATTACACGAGGCTGTTGGATACAGTTGATAACTTTGATCGGATTGCCATCAGACGCAAAGTCCATCAATTTTTTGAAAGGCGGGAACTTTCCATCATAGACAAAGTATTACAAGAGGTTAATAGTGGTGAAGACTACCTACTTTCAAAAGGACCACATTCTATAGTTTACCCAAAGAACTTCATTTTGAGTATATAAAACGGAACAGAAATAGAATTTTGATGGACAGCCAAGAGATTATTTTATGGAGAACTTATTTAAACTCAATAAAGAAATACCGCGACCAGGGCGGGAAAACTTATTACTTGGATGAAACCTGGACAAATGCAGGACATACAAAACCTAAAGTATGGGCTAACTCTACAATTAAATCAGCAAGATGGACTCACCACTGGCCTAAATAATCCGCCAGGTACGTGTCTCTAAACAGTTCTTAATTTGGGTTGTGAAAATGGTGTCAAGTAGACTGAATCTATGAGCGCGTGCTTAAAAATTTAGCTACACTAAGCTTAGCTATATCTGGAAGATTTGGAACCAACAGCTGTTAGATACTCTGCTATTATTATTAGTTTTCTTGAATAATATATGAAATAATTATTTCTAGGAAAAGGAAAACGATTTGTTATATGTCACATTGGCAGTGAAGATGGCTTCATGCCCACTACCCTATGGGTATTTGAGTCAAAGAAAACGACCTGCTACCTTGAAGAAATGGACGACAATGTCGTCATTGATTTCATAATACTACATACCACTATAGAAAATTATAAAAAATTTCACAATATCCACAAGAAAGGCAGCAATTCAACAATGGCTCCTATCAAAAGACATTAGTTTTAATTAAATATGGTCAAAGCAGAACATATCCATCTGGTCAGGCAGCATAAATATAAATATAAGCTTAATGTTATTAACGAAATGGCTAAAAACCAAAATAAGACCGGTTTAAGGTTACCCCCTTATCACTGCGAATTAAATCCCATTGAAATGATTTGGGCAAATATAAAAACTATGTAACTTCAAACAACAAAATATTCAAATTTTCTGTGTTAAATTTTTTTTTTATATGAAGCTGTCAACAGAGTGACGGCAAACTATTGGAAAGACTGCATCCGTCACGTTCAAGACACAATCGAAACCAAGATGCGGCTTCTGTACAATATGATCGATATTCGAATTGAACCTGTAATAATTAATATTAAACATTCGAGCGATGATTCAAGTACTTCCAGCGAATAAAGGATTGAGAAAAGTATGTGCCCTTCTTGCTATAAAAATTATCATTTATTATTCCGAGACCATTGATTAAAATACGGACCTGTAAAATCTCGCTTTTGGGCATGTTGTGTTTTGTCTATGCGTAAATGGACTTCGAATGAGGTATAATTTTCTGAGCAATAACATTAGTCATAATTTTTCAGGTTTAGCCATGATGTGCGGCCTGATCATGTACATAGCCATTTTCAAATCAGAAGTTGGAAGCAAACTTCGTCCTCGCTCTCAACTACGCCCCGCAGCCTTCGAGTACTACTACGGATACTCGTTCATTGTGTATGTCAGTGGAGTGGTGTTCACGCAACTCAGTGGCGTCTCATGCATTTTTCTCTACTTGTATCGGGCACAGTACGACTGGAAGAGGAAACAGCTGGAGGACCACAAACGAGGTGATCGACCAGGTATTTCTTAAAACAAAGCTATAATAAACAAAAGTAAGCATATTGCGAAAAATTTCTAAAACGAAATGTTATTTTTTTCGAAAGTGTCACGAATAATCATGTTACTCATTTCGTCTTCCTGCCTATTTCTCATCTTTCATTTGTCCGATAATCCTCTATTGTGCCTATGTGAGTGGGAAAGTCCGCTAAGGTATTGAGGAAAGGCCAATGGGTAATTTTTGAAGTCATTTTTGTAACGCAGATCACTCGCATTTCTTTTATAAATATGGTAAAAAGAATATGGAAGAAATATATTGCTGCCACAACGAAAGTTTTGGAGATTTTGTAACTTGAGTTTAGATAAATAAGTCTGAGAGTTTAGGTCTATAACACCCAGTACGATCAGCCAAACACGTAGATCAGTTTTAATTTACTATTTGGCTCTAATTTTATAGAATAAATGAGTATTTCTTGCAGAATAAATTTAAATATGATGATTGCAATTTTTGAGAGCGCACGATAGATATATAGGTCCATTTTAACAAAATTCATTATTAACTTTTTACGTTGGTTAGGTGCTTTTTTAGAAATACTTAAAAAAGACAACTTTAGTTCGCGAGTGACAAGACGTTAATATATGAAACAGTGGAAATACTATCGACCGTGACGTGACGTGATACAAATTGTAAACAAAGAAACGTCATTGGCATGTCGCTCCCCAACTAAAGTTGTATTCTTTAAGTATTTAGAAAAAAAACTCCTAACCAACGCCGAACGTTATCGGTTTCTTGCTTTTTTTGAAAAATGAATCATGGAAGTTGGATTCGTAAAAGCAAAAATCACATATTTGCTGAAAATTTACGCATTGATGGTTATATTTCATTTCCAACTTAAACCAGACAATAAAATCTGCGCAGGAAAATTTAAAATACGTGCCGAACATAAGGTATGCTCCAAGCAGTACACAATGTTGCATTTATTTATTTCCCTGTGCACTCTAATAAACAGCTTTCCTGGGGCATTTATCTATGTGCTCTTACATTTGCGGACAATAGAATAATGATAATCTATATTTTTCGTGTAAACTAGTAGGCGTCATGTTTATATGTTTAAAAGTTTGAGAGGTTACGCTGCTGTCAGTTGCTATTTACAAATGTCAGAAAACATTAGTATGCGCCAAACATGACGGACAGTGCTTTCATCTGTTTAAAGAAAATATATAAAAGATTTACTCTTCTCGTTTAAACAGTAAAGGCAAATAAGTAAATAGTTTCCTGCATTGATATTCTGCTCATTGACTTCACAGCGTGTTGACATCCAAACCGAGTAGGCTGTTTATACCGGATGTTTCCTGATGGAATGTGAATATCTAAGGGGGCGACTTTTGGGTTCTTTTTAGGCAGAAAACTTCATATGAACGTATGTCTCAAACGTCCTAACTCTTGAGATACAGGGTGGTAAAGCTTACAAAAGTAAATCATTCAATGTTAATATCCGTGAATAACAATTTAAATACTTTAATGAAATGTAGTATAAATGTAGTATGTATCAAGAAGCATTTTCTAATGTATTGCTTGTATTTGATTTGACTGAGTGATTTCTCTTAAAATAAAGACTATTCTTGTCCCCATTCATTTCTAAGCAAATTTGCGGACTTAATTTTTTCAATCCGATGCACGCGGTTTTCACATAAAAAATAATAACAGTTTCTCTGCATGAACGCAACAATATCGTTAAAATGACAATATCGCCATGTAGAGAAGTGGCTTTTATTTTTTTGGAAGAAAATCATGCAACCGAATAAAATATTCAAGATATCAAATCTGCTTATAAATGAATGTAGGTTCACATGAAGTTATTTTCTTGAAAGAGACGCAAAAATCGCACTTTAAACATCGATATTCAATTAGGAAAGAGTGTTAGTAGTAACGTTCTATACATATATAAACTACTTCTTTGTTCAAACAGGTGTGAACCACTACAGTCACCACATAGACTCCACAGAGCTGTATCCATGTAGGCGTCACCCGTCGAGTTACGTGAACTCTAACAGTGCCAGTCACTACCACAGGAACGCCTCATCGTCAGCAGCGGATCAGAAGCGTTTCTACCTGAGCAAAGAGCAACTTCCTACCTCACCCTGCAGCCTGCATCAGACAAGGTCACAGTCCAACTCCGTCAAAGACGTGTCCACCTTTTACGATTTTCCCCCGCCTCCTACGATCTCCTATCAGTTCCCTGATCAGAGGAACTATCGGTTACCTAGGGACGTCACTTCCAATACGGTGAGTATTTTTACTTCTTCCCACGCCCACTGGCGAGGAAGTATTATGACATTATTATAATCGCGAAAAAATTTTCAAAATGTGATGTGTTTTTTGAACGTTAGCTGGCATGTACATCGATATGTCAGTGTGTGTCTGCTAATCCTTGACCTGTCTATATCTTGAAAAGTACCGCTCGGGTTTTGAAAAAATTTTCACACGTGGTTACTACTAAGCCAGGGACAAACGTATTTTTTTTAAGTTCCTGATCATTTTCAAAAAACGGGTAACTGAGGTGTAAATCTCCACTAGCGTGCCCGTAAAACAATTGAACAAAAAGCTTTCTTATTTAACTTCACAAAAATCGACCGTTCTTCATGCAGATCACCCACGATACAGATTAAACCTTAACCGCTGTAGTGCGCTCTTGAGACCGCAGCACGTATTAATTTCTATATATTTTACTCCCACTTCAATATAATCAGGCAATATCCTTGCTACCTTCGAGTCACCACGTGGTCAGTTTGTCGCTAAAAGTTGAAGATGGCACTTTATCGGTTTACAATAGAAATATGACAAAAGTTACAGAGCGATCACAGTGACCGGTCTACGTTGTCTATGTTGTCTATGTTACTATTACGTTTTTTGTATAGCCAGTGTGATTTCCTGCCAACTTTGTGGATTATTTTTGGCAGGACAGATCCTCAAAAATGAATCGAAATTATACAACAGGGTTTCCCAATAGGAATTATAGGATTTTGACAGCTCACTGCCGCCATCTTAGTTGTATATTTTCCGACAGCTGAGTTATTTTGTGTTTCGTAAGGCAGTTTGGAAATCGTCCAAATATTCTATCAAAGTTTTTTCGCTACTCAAAGAGCATTTCGCGCTAAATATGGTCGTAATGGCGCACCGACTCAGCTCGCTATACGTCGCATAATTCAAAAACTGGAAAGTGAATATTCTTTGCACGATAGTAGACCACCGACCAGAATGCAATCTGGCCGTAGTGGCTTGATATTTGTAGTGTAAATATACACATGTTCTTCATCAGTCGTTCAAATATAGCACAAAAATCGAAAAAGCAGACTTTCTAAAAATTCTTGCTGATCAATTGGTAAGAGCCCATCTTATTAGGCGTGCAAAAAATACAAAACTAAAGCGTGACATTCGAACTAAATTCGTAGAATTCTATCACTTCCTGACCGTGCTGAAGAGGATGTTTCGGAGGAAAAATTAGAAAAAAAAGAAAAACATGTCACACTTGTCCACCAAGAATTAAAAGAAAAACTTTTTATTTATGTAAAATATGCCATAAGCCTACTTTGTAAAAATTGTAAACACAATCTTTCACTTCTTCACCGCTTGTTTTTTTATACCTTTCAAGTTATCACTCAAACTAATTTAACTAAGATAAGGACTTTGTGTAAAAATATGTCGAAATGAATGATGTTTTTATTTTTTTAAATGAAGTATGGTAAACATTATTTGTTATGTCTTATTTCAGGCCTCATTCTACTCACCCTGAATATTTACAACAGGCAAAATATTTTATTTTTTGTAATTGAGATTGTTAGTAATGTGCCGTTACTGAGACCGCGCTACGTTAATGACGTTATACTTTCTGCGCTACGGTAGTTAAGGGTTAAACATTATTTACACGTTCTTATCAGTATGAAAAACAAAAAATTCCTGGTATTTTGTTTTCGTCAGTTGTTTGGTACAACATTTGCTAAAATGAATTATCAATGCGTGTTCTAATATCACGACGATGAACGCCAAATACAGATATTTATTTTTCAATTTATTATTGAAGTCAGCTTCTTTCGTCATAGTGTACATGTGGTTAAAATTTGTCGGATAAGTTGTGAAACACCCTGTATACACATGGGTAGAGATGGACGGATTAAGGATCTTACGGGCGAAGAACCTTTGCACATCGCCGCTAACCAGCATACAGCAAATGGCTATCTTCAGGTGAAATACGTTGATCAATGCTTGTAGCTTTTCTGTTATACTTTAGTAGATTTCTGTCGAACACTGGTTAACCTAACCTAACTATGCATTTATTAACAGTATGGTTTCCAGATGAGCACGACAGCTGACGTGGCCATAGAGGAATTCCTGAGCGAGCAGTTTGAGTCAGACTATTCGCCCTCAATCCAACGCGAGTGCGAGTTTGTGACCTTCGACCTCGACCAGCCCTTGCCCTTGAGAGCGCCCAGCGTGGTCAGCATCAACTCTAATAGGAACGGTCGGACTGACACGTTGCGAAGGACTACGCCTGTTTGAGAGTAGTGAAAGTTCGATCCGGTCGATCGATCAAAAGTGTGTGACTGTTAAAAAATTGTTTTGATGAAAGCAGGATGTCCAGAGTTTATTATACAGTGTGTCATAAAGAAGATTTGGGATTATACGCAAATACTACACGTTTTAGGAAAACATGTATTTGTTCCGACTTTATTACTCCTCACCCCACTGACGAGGAAGCAGTGCAATCGTAAAAAAAATGACAATGAAATATTATCTTTTTGGATGATGGATGACTTGTGCATCACGGAAAACTATGTCACTGATTTTCCCCGTTCTGTTTGTCTCTGTGTCGCTCTGTCTGTAACTACAGCTCGGAAAGAACGGAATGAATTAGAATCGGTCAAACTTCATTTTTTAACGTTCCAGAGGCTTCTAGTGCGTAGATGTTGAAAATTGGGGTTTAGTGTTGTAGGGGGTGAAGTATGTACATGTTGCATTTTTGGTAACAAATTTTCGTAAAATTTCGGTGAGAATGCCTGACTATTGGCTTTAGTGAGATTGCATGACCACTGCGAGCATCATAATTTGATACGAATTGACTTCCAATAGGGTGTAAAGTAACCCAAGCTTAAAGTATACGTTATAACTCCGATATAAGTCGCCTTGAAGTGAGCGAAATTGAACCTGCAATGATTCAGACTATTAAGCAAAATGCAATGGGTACAATGAAATGTGGGACATCTAGATGACAACCTGTAACAGCCTAAAACCATACATATGGTACTTTATTTTAAATGTCCACATGTTTCCTGGAATGTATAGTATTTTCTGGATATCCTTTGGGTCACTCTGTAGTTCACAAGTCAGTGGGTGCTCAAGAAAAATATTGAAACGTTATTATATTTTTTTAATACTTTGTAATACCTAGTCTTGGATTCCATACATCACGAAATGTATATTTGGTCTATACAGGGTGTTACAGAGTATTGTCAGGATTATTTAGGGACAGGTTCAAAAGGTGAAAGTATGAGAAATAGTTCAAATACACATGGGTCGGCAAAATGTTATCTCTATGGTATACGGTGTTTAGTCTTGTCCGTCGTTATGTTCAGCAAATTCGACACTGGTTTTTGCAATAATAAGTATACCTTTCGCAAATCCTTTTTGACCTACTGGTTTTGCAAAAGGCTTTATACAGGGATATCCAACCTTTTGCAATACTAGTAGCATATTGTTTTTTGCTAAGCATATTCACTTTTAGAAAACATATTTGTGCATATACATGTAATCTTTGATAACGCATCTGCATGTAACAATTCTCAATATCCAGTCTGAATTAGAGAAATGTAAGGCGAACTATCAATTACGGACACTGAAAAAAGGAATTGTAGAAAATTGCATCGTTTTTTTTTTTCAGTTTTATATCTTCTGGACAGCTAGTCATATTCGTATAGTACAGATAATGTAGTTACCACTGCAAACGAATTAAAGGAGGAATTTGACATAGTTATGGTTACCTATCTAAAACAAGGTGTACCTAAACAAAGACTCCGGGGAACTAAGGTGATACCTTGATGAATAATCCTAATATGAAAAGGCAAATATAATCAGAACATACGAAGCAACTGTTAAGTTTACGTAATTGAAAATAGTTCAATTTCGGTATTAGGTGTTAAGGGCTATATTCTCTGTACTATAAGTTTAAAACTGTAAATAGGTGAGCTGAATATGCACCAAATATAAATAAATATTCTAAATACTCAATGTAAGACTTTTGTGATAAAAATGTATATGATTTAAACGATACTGTTTTGGGATAGATAAATAAATGTTAAATTGATAAAGGACTTGATTGCAAGTAATTGGGAGGGATTCAAAACATACCTTTGTGAATGTCAGTCAAAAGTATGCCCGAAGACCTATACACTATTATTGTCACATCACGTAAATAGAAATATTAGATTTTTTCTGTTAAAATAGACACGGTCAATTCTAAAAATGAGGGTGTGAAATAACTACTGGGAGAAAGCGAAACCTTTCAGGGAACTGTATTCCTTAACATTGGTGGAGAAGTCACTCCCTGGTTGTTCTCACGAGAAAAAGAGCAAAAATCTCGGCGTCGTTCACCAAACTCATCTCTAATGGTGGAGTTAACGCTGTGATAAAATGTTTAATGATACGAAGATCAGAGGAACATATTGTGCCGAAAATAAGAACTGCATTCACTTATTTGATAAATGCGAAAACAGTCGCCAGACTGCCTGAAAGGTAATAGAACACCTTCTACTGACTATTCTACTCCTTCGTTTTCAGCCTAGAAATCATAGCGCAACATCTGCATCTAAATAAAATACTTTAGAATCCATCCTGGTGTTAAAATTATTAAAGTTTTGTTTTCAATCTCTTCCTATACATTCCCGCAAAAAAATCCAGTCGCCACATACCACTACACTTCTGTAATATTTATATCCGTAGAGCTGAAAGCTTCTATTTGCGGATAATATAAAATAATATTTGCTTCATTTGTAGCACAAAATGACCCAAATGCCAAAACGTTGAACCCAGGAGCATTGAATGAAGTAACATATCCTTTGAAGAAAACCAACTGTGTACATACCGTCAGTTTTTACAACTAAATATGTTAACACGCTATTGATATCATTATATATATTATGTATTGAATATAATGAGTTCCTTTTCTCTTAAAGACTGTACAGAGCTGAGCAATCAGATGAACTTGCAAATGTGATGTAATATAATGTAGTGTAAGACACTGATTTATCAAAAGTTAGGCAGAATGACCGGAAAATAGTGAAATACTCACATAGAAAGTAACATTTCTTGGAAAGAGCTAAATAAATTCAATGAATATGTGAAACTGGGTCGGCAAGTATTATTATTGAGTACTATAGCCTAAATGGCACCAAAAAGATCTAATTCCTACAGAAATTGAAATACTGAAAAAACACACATTTTATCTGTGGTTTAAAGATGTCAACTCGATATGGTCATACCTAAGCTACCCATTTTCAACCTCGGTACCATAGACAAGGGAGCGATCCTATGGGCCAGTTCAGGATGTAAATGCTTGCAGACTTTTGATTATGGCTTGACTTAAGTATAGAATAGGAGAGTTGTCATTCTGCCTATCTTCATACTGATGCACAAACCAAATTACCAAAACCAAAAGTGTCAATCAAAGTATATAAAGTATAGGAACCAAAACTCCTTGTCCTCTATAATGGATCCATCAACAAGTAAAATGCAACATGATGATCTTGCTGAAACTTGATGAGCCCAGCCACGTCGATGTTATTGAAAACGTTTATTTAAAACAATATGGCATGTTAAAATGGTGATGGCATGGTTAGTGGCAGATCTAAGTAGACAGAATGGGTAGATTTGGGCCAGCTAGAAAGAAAACGTACTTTGTGATCTAAAAAGTTATTGGGATATAAAAAGCGAGATACCCAGTGTTTCCAAAGATGTACAGAAACCTATGAATTTGCATTAAAAGAATATTCATTTAATAGAAAGAGACAGAGCATTTCTAGATCTGTGACCATCCATGCAATACTTGGATCAGAAACATCAACAAGCAGTTTTTATAAATTTTTGAATCTCGGTTAGACACATGACCTAGCCGTTTCTGTTCTTTGCTCTAAAAAAATGATCAAGATAATTACAATATGTACTAGAATCGGGTAGTACCTATAAATAGTTTTATGCATTGAAAATTCCTCTTACTACAAGAACGCCTGCTGTTTATGGTACCACAAACCGTAACACCGAGAAATGGTCGAAATAAGACAGCACAAGTATCATCTATCACCAGAATCGAGCACTGCGAGTGTGAAAACAGCAAGATGTCTGTTGGAACTGTGAGTTCGCATTATCAGCCGGGTCTCTGCTGTGGCCGCTAGATGCCGCCGATTCTGGTGCTATGGTAGATACGATCTACTCGCCATTAAATAAACTAGTGATATAGCTTTCGTTCATCCCACCTCAGCTGGCCCACCATGGACCGTTCTATTTAGAGAGTTAAATTGATATATGGAAAATGGTTAATTTTCGACCTTCAATAATTTTTAAGAAGTAAAACATCCAGTTCAGGAACTTATGTTACGTATTTCTTTGGTTTATGGTCAGATTGTTGAAAGAAACATAGTATGGATGGCGAGAGAGACGTATTTAAGAATGCCATTGTCCAAACCGAAACTCAAAAAAATTATAAAAAAGCCCGTAAATTTAAGCTACAGCCCGATCATTTTATACGAACACCATGTGTTCCCATTGTTATTTATACAAAATGTATTATTGTATTGTTGGAAACCTGTACATACCTTATGACTGTTTTTTTGTATATGTTAAATAAATGACATATGTATAGAAGGGATTTTGTTCATTCGCTGGATGCTTTATTCAATAGTCGATGCCGTCCAGCAATCGATATAGTCCAGTGGAATTAACTTCGCAATTTTGTTTATAGTTTAGTCCTTTGCTCTGCGTTAAAACAAACTTGAACACCCGATGGTTGCTTGTCGCTGCGTGTCCAGGCAATTCTGAGCCACTGGCCAATAGGAGCTAACGAATTTTAACGTCGCGCACTGCTGTTTATTTTGTCTGCGCATAGATGGATTGACGAATTTAGCCCAGCGAAATCAACAACGAAGTGTTTGATAAACGTCCGGCGATGTCCCGTTTACCAAATATAATTGCGAAGTTAATTTCACAAGACTTTAATATTTAATTCACCTGACCAACTATCATTTGAGGTGTTATCCAAAGAAATAAAAATTAATAATGATAATAATAATAAAAATAAAATATAATCATTCTAACAAACAGGATGACCATGTACAATACTACTATCGCAAACTTTAGTTGAATATTCTGCAAAACATAAGAAGACCTATCTTGGGTCGATTATAAGAAGGCTTTCGGTAGCGTACTGCACACTGGACTGGGAGATCTAAAGCGATTAACCATCTCTTACACGTGGATGCTTTGAAGACCTTTGGCCAGAGTTAAAATCAGTTAAAAAACTCAATAATGGAAATACAAGAATTCAGCAACGACATCAGAATGGAATTTGGTTTAGACGAATGCGTTATTGCAGTCATAAGATCGGGAGATGTTAGACACATTGGTGTAATTTTAATTAGGTCACAAAAACGTTAGAATCTATAAATATTTAAGTACCACTTAATGCCAAGCTGTAGATCATATAAAAACTAAAGAAAAATTAGAGAAAAGATACAAACACTGCTTAGGAAGCATACCAAAAACAGAACAATATGTTAATATTAAAATCACAGCCATTTTGGAGCGTTAGCAATTCCTGCACTCCCATACAGCCTTGACGTAGTTCACTAAAAAATAGAGGAGATAGAACAACTACTCGTAGATAGAAGAACACGTAAACTGTACGTCGCATCTTGAAGAAGGATTTAGTGTCCCAGTCTTACATAATCCAACTGTTGCCAAGGGATTATGCACAACGTGTTAATTTTGCACAGCTTATGATTGAACAGTTGGATAACAATGACATGACGTTGTTCATGAGTGATGAGGCACATTTTCATTTATAATACATGGTTGCCTCAATAAGCAAAATTGTCGATGTTGGTCTCCAGTGAACCCCCAACAGTTGCATGAGTACCCCCTGCATGCCCCGAAAGTTACAGTTTGGTGTGCAGTAGGACCAATGATGATTATTGGCCCTTATTTTTTTGAGGATGATGGAGAAACAACTACTGTGAATTCAGGGCATTACATCCACATGCTAAACAACTTTTTTTTCCGGAACTTCGACGTGTCCGTCTCAGAACAGTGTGGTTCCAACAAGACGGGGCAACATCTCACACAGCCCGCACTTCGATGGAACTTCTTCGACAAAAGTTCCCAAGACGTCTCATTTCACGTCATGGCGATATTCCATGACCCCCTCGCTCCCCGGACCTGTCGAAGTGTGATTTTTTTTATGGGGATACCTGAAATCAAAAGTTCACCAAAGCAAGTCTCGAACCCTCGCCGATTTGAAGGAGGAAATAAGGAGAGAAGTAACCCAAACTCCGGCACGGATGCTGGCCGACGCAATGTGCTCATTTCGGGAGAGGCTTGATTCGTGCATTTCGGCTCAAGGGCGCCATATGGCCGACATAGTTTTTAGAAGGTAAATTCTGTTTGACTCAAAAAATTGCATATATTTCTGAGTATTTTGATATAATAAAATATTTTTCCCATACTTATTTTGACTGTACCACTCATTCAAACAACATGCGTTCTTTCTGACGTTCCCTGTAGAAGTACTATTTCCTTGCTAAGCTGGCCCCAAAAACAGCATCAAACCTGGACGAACTCCAAAACAGAGAATTTTTCCACCGAGGTATTAATCAGAAAAAGGCATCTAGAAATTATGGAAATCTCATCGCTACAGAATGCAGCCCGCAGTTCAAGATCAAGCTTCAAAAACATGTTGCTTTGAAGACCGAATACCTCCACTTTCGATAAAAATAGCTTAATAGGCTCTTCATATCATTTGCACACTTTCATTTTGGTACCGGACCACTATTTCATTGGAGATCTAATTTCACCAGACTATATCCAATAATGGTCTCAACCAATTAAAATACTACTCTTCCAATACCACCTTTTTCTAAGGCAGGCATTTTCCTTTCAACAGTGGTTAAGACTAAATCTTGTAGATGGCAAGCTAAGCGAATGCTGAAGCGCCATATATAGGAATTATTTTAAATCACTCATGGAAAGGCAACATTAGCAAGAGCCTCCTATCTCGTATCTTAGCTATAGCTTAAATTTAACCGTATAGATGTCTCTAAGAAAATATACTTGTGTGCCATCTGTGAGCCGAATTGTTAGTCCCACTACTTCTGCGAGTAAGGTCCTTTTCACTCTATCACATGTAAGTCAAGTATTCACCACCAGGTGTAAATATAATCACTGGTGGTGCCATCCTTCCAGCACGACTGTAACGACGATTATGCATCGTAAGTTTCTATTCCGTCACTAGCTGTAGTTCATGACTGCTCGGATAGGGGTCGCAAGTAACACCTCGGCTTGGTTGCCAGACATTTTTCGGTATCCCTACAGAAATGGCGCTAACGAGGACTATTGTTTTTTTTTATACCGAAGCAACCCCGCAGGCAGAAGCCTAAATGTCGGGACACCGCGGCCGCTATGGAGAATCCCAAAAAAATTTTGGTAATCCGACTTTTGAAGAGATAGAAGAGAGCTAGAACGCCGACGACATGAAGCTGCGAAAGATTCCCGAGACTGTCTGTTAGAGAAGAGTCATCGATCAGTCGGACAGCCCTCCTCTAAACAGTATAGAGCATAAATAATGTAGCACCCCAAAAACGTGTAAACAATACTCGAGGTCTTATCTGGGCCTTGCATAGCGTGAGATGGTCATCCGGAGAAAAGTACTTCTTGGCCCTAAACAAATAGCCCAGCTTTTTCCCGGCAGCTGCCGCTATTGACGAGATGTGTTCGTGTCAGATCAAGTCTTTGGTATTCGCTAGACTCCGACTAGCCATCCATCGAAACAGGATGAGCGCTAGGACATTTTTTGTTCGTCAAGGTACAGTACTGTGTTCTGGAAGCATTAAACTGCGTTGCGTCCCCAAGCAGTAATAACCTCCAAGGCTCTCGTCAGAGAGGAAGCCGTCGCTAGTATTTTTTTCCAGCTCAGCGGCAGAGATCGGCTTGACACTCTGAATTCCTGGATGTAGAGTGCTGTCATCAGCAAAGCTATAGATTGAGTTGATTGTACAGGAAAGGTGGTCGTTGATATGTAAGAGGAACAGTGTCGGAGCCAAGACCGATCCCTTGGGAACACCCGCGTTGACGTTGTGGGATGAAGAGGAGAACCCATCAATTACGACGGATATTTTGCGACCAGAGTGAAAGTCAGCCACCCATCTGCAAAGCTTTTCTGGGAGGCCATACGATGGAAGTGTGTATAAGAGGGCAGCGTGCCACAGCTGATCGAACACTTTCGTGATATCAAGAGCAACGACATGAGCTTCACCATAACACTGGATGAGTTTACTCCGCAACTGCGTGGCGTAAGCTAGGAGGTCCTCTGCGGATCGCTGGTGCCGGAAACCATACTTCCTGTCGCTAGTCAAGCCATGACGTTTGAGGTAGTCCAGAAGCTCGCGATTTATGCACCTCTGGACTGTTGTAAGCAAAGTATGGTGGCGGTTTTACAAAATATGCCTATGTGGCGTGAGTGACATGTGGTGGGTCAAGAAGGGTTAACACAATGATTTTGCGTTACTCATATTTTTCTGTTTCTTTATCCATGATGGTAGAGGTGCCGGGGGTATTGCAGTAAAAAAAACCAAGAGTAGTATGACAATTTTTTTTACTTACAAAAATATTTACAGACAATTGATGTTCATCCCTTACAACTTACACAATATATACAAAGAATGGAAAAATTCATATGAATATGCCCTTATGATTCCATACAACTGGAAATTGAATACATGAGATCAGTCTGGTCTGTGTTCAGTCTTCCACTGAAGATTATTATATACAATGAAATTTGTACTAACTACACACCTTATACATAGTTTGCTATATAACATAAGTACTGGCATTATTCGCATCAAATAATTAAATACAATTTTCTTATTCAGATAGCAAAGAAAGCTTTATTTTGTTTTGGAAGAAGAGCAATCTGTCCCATATTGTGCTCTTTGTATATCTTCCTTAGAGGTTAATCCAGGGTTGAATAATAAGTCACTCTAAATTATATAAGAAGCTGTTACGACACCTTCATGAATTTATAAATATATTTACGAACATTGCACACAGTAGTGTTTCCACCTAAACTGTAAATATTAACTATTACGCCTTAAAGTGTCTCCACAAGCGACCTTAAAATCTCGAGATGCATATCTGTGCTATCTAAATACCGTGTGACTAGTACGAAAATCTCTATATACAAAAATCATACAAAACTATATACAAATTCACAGGTAAGTGGTACAGGTTTGATACTTCTTGACACTAACGCTATCTATAACAGTGACGTAATGTTACACCATGGTAACATTCCGCCTCTTTTTCTCTCCAGAGTTCACAGAACTCATCGAGCCTTGCAAGCTAGTATTGAAGGGACCCATGGGTTCACTCCTCTGCATGCTTTGGTATATGGGATGTGACTGTTGCATCGGAGCTCCATGAACTCCATAGATGTTGTAGTTTACTGGGTACCCATTGCCATTAAAGGCAGGTAGTGGAGGGACAGGTGGAGGCATATGACCTTGGGGATAATGCTCTTGCATTTGGTGGCTATTTAAACTCATATGGTCCATAGTTTGACCATTTATAGACATGTGATCACCATTCATCAAGATCTCTTGGTGTACTACCATCTGCTCTTGTTCCATCATGGTGCCATCCATAGGACTATGCCTTCGTTCATGCTCGTGGAGGAGTTGTGAGGCACTCCAGGAGTTGTACGGACTCAATATTGGTTGGTTGCGATTGATTGTATTGTTAGATATCACACTAACTCCACCACAGTTGTCTCTTTGCTGATGCATCTGTTGCTGTTGTTTGAGCTCTTCAATAAGCTGTTGCTCTTGTTGGTTAACCAAGGAGTAACGTTTTTTCGACTCATCTTCATATCCATAGTTACTGATAGGTACTCCGATTTGGTGAGGATCAGGAACTTCACCACCAACGTAAGTTTGACTAAGATGTTGAGGACTATTCTGAGGAGAGCTTGGTACAATGGTAACAGTAGAGCTCAGATTGTCTTTCTTTACAGGATTTCCTTTACCAGAACCCTTGTGGTTGTCCCTAGTCTTGCGCTTCACAACGCAAAAATAGCAATATACTATCAACAAAATCACAAGGAGGATAAAACCTATGGCTACTGGCAAGATCAGTTCGAGACCGATAGAAACGGTTCGAGTGATACTAGGACTTGCAGGCTCAACACCAATGGAGTTGCCATTATTAGGCCAATACGACTGTTCATTGGAGGAGAAAGTTGGAGGCACTGTAGGTGGAGGAGGCGGTGAAGGTACCAAGACTCTTACCCAGTTTGAAACTGGCCCAGAAAACTCATTGCTCATTCTCGAATAAGACTTAATGGCAAAGTACAGAGTCTTGTCAAGCAGATCCTTATTCTGGTTCATATCCAATGTAAAAGTAGTCTCAGAACCAGGAGCCAATGGAAAAGGCTGTCCATTCTCCCAAACCAAAGCAGCAGTTTCGAACCTATCAATAATATCCAACACATTAGTCGAATATCTTATTTCATAACGCGTAACAGTACTGCCACCCATATCGGGAGAAGTCCAAGACAGGCGAGCCTTCATGTCCTCTGGGATGACTTCAACCTTCAAATCGCCGATTCTACCAACAGATACTTGGCCAGCTGCAGCAATATCTTGTTCAGTAATCTTCATAGTTAGTTTGGGTAAAACTCGTTGGAAAGGTGCTATCGGTTGAACTCCGTTTGAAGTAATGGAGCTGCCACAGCATGGTTTATCTTCTGCAACAAAGGATAATCATGTTAAAGGAAGACCTGATATACGAGTAAGAGTAAGAAAGTTCTATTAAATACACTAACGTCAAGGTAATAACTTCAAAAGGACAATTTTCTACTAGACCTACTTCTCCGGTTCGGTCGGGTCCGAAGTCACTATAATGTCAGTGTGTGTCGTCAGCATGTCAGGTCTGATAGTCTGATGTCTGATAGCCAAAAACCGAAAACAATTCTAAAAAGGATCAGGGTCTGTAAGCTTGCCCTGAAAATAACTCAAATATCAAGTTGATGGCATTTATGAGATTCTTGCATTTGGATATTCTGGGATTCACTCATATTCGAACATTATTTTTTTTTATTCTTATATGATCGCTAGGTCGCAATAGTTTCTACCTTAAATCTGTAATAAAACAAACTAAGACACAAAACATAGATGAAAATGAAAGTTGCCCCCCTGAGCTCACTAAAACCAAAAGTTGACATCTTATAATTGTATATTAATTTGTTTCAACGTTTGTCTTCATTTTGAGAGCAGCGGAGCAAAACTTTAATTCTTATGCATTTTATACGTTTTTGATATTTTCACGATTTGTTTCTTAATGAGCTGTATTATAAGTTTAAAGTAGAAGGTATTGCCTCTATGCGCGTATATAAAAATGTAAGCCTTTAAAGGACAATCACGTATTAAATAAAATGAAAAACTCTTGGTGAACTGTTAAAATACATATGTACTAAAATATTTCAATGCAAAAATCTAATATGTAGTTTTATAGACGCGGTCAACTTGAAATTTGAGTTAATTTCAGGGCCGGAAACCCGGCTTGTAGACCCTGATCCTTTTTACGACTGATTTTGGTTTTTGTATTGTATAATTGCTTGTGCTTCATGGATGTGCAAAATTTTGCAGCTAAGCAGAGTGTATCGTGCAATGTGCGCATATCAGATTAAAGGAGACTTTGAAATTCAAAATATTATATAATATAAAAAAAAGCACAAGCAAATATGTCTTAAAATTTTGTACTAACCACACTTACCACCCCGTTTTGAAGATCCGGTCCACGTGTAAGCGGTGTTGCCGTTGTCAGTCACAGTCACTTCAAAGGAGTACAATCCAGGTCCTGAGTCCAGTGCACTAAAGTACTTGGTGTAAACGCCATCACCCTTGGTTATATCTGGATCTCCAGCGCCACTATCCAAAAGCTCGATCTTCGATTTTTGAGCAATGGTACCATTTGGTTCGTGCTTGGTCACTGTTACTTCAACTTTGGCTCCAAGAATGGGGACTTCTCCATATTTGACCTGAGCCAGGAGAATAAGAGGTCCGTCTGGGCTGTTTCTATGAGTTCTGAAGTCTGCTCGCACAACTGGCACCAATGAGGATTTTGGAGTTGCCATTACTTGTAAGAAATGAGGTTGAGGGTTGCCTGTGTAGGTATCGACGATGTAAGTCCATGTTCCAGTCTGCAAAATCAAAATATTCATGCATTAAGACTTTATGCTTAATACAATCCAGCTTAGTCAAATCTCACGTCTGTGAGTCATTTAGTAAGCAATCACCCTTTGAAGAAGGCAAAGTTTCTCTTACAGATGTTTTGGTATCTTAAAACAACGATCGTATGACGTCAGTCCTTGAAAGAAAAATCTGCTGACAAAAAGAACAAAAGTGCAATCAACCTACCTCAGAAATATTGGCATTCAGGGCGATCATCTTGGCATCCAACCATTTGTCGTGTCTCTCAGAAAACTCTTGATGACTTGGGCTGATCAATCTCAACGACTTTATTAGCGGAGCTATGGTGTTATGGGTGTAGAATACAAACTGTGCTGGCTCGCCCATGTTGGGATCCAACATGAAGCTTCCAGTGATAGATGTTCTTCCATCATCAGTAATCTGTCGTCTATGAATCTCCATTGGTAAGTCAGATGGGCTCCCTGAATAGAATTTGGTCACAATGTCATACAGTACAGTTTGGAGTTCGAAATATGTTGTTAGTAGGGTCGTCTCCACATTGAGTTTCTGCTCAAATACTGCGTAGTCTACACCACCTGTCTCTTTAGCTAACAATCCCAAAGTATCCTGCCTCACAACATCTGGATAGTTAATTGTAGCCACCTTGATCTTTCGCAGCTTCAAGTCCTGAATGGTCTTATTCATGTGATCATCCATGTTCATCCCAGAAGCTATGACAACAATAACATTGTTAGCAACTCCATGCGTCTTTGTACGGTCGGTTAACATCTTCATAGCTTCTTTCAAGGCACAGTGCAAACATACAGGTTGCACACTCTCACTTGCAGTATAAGGAAAGGCTGAATAGAACTTATCACGATTATTTACTCCATAACCTCGTCCATAACGGTCATTTGGATTATACTTAACAGAAACGATATTCAAAGCTTTATTAGTTTGGTTAGAGTCAGAAAGAACCAGTCCAAGCTCGGTAGCGTCAGGAAGCACATTCCTACTCCAATGTCTGACAGCCATCCTTAGGTAGCTCCAAGACTCTCTTTGCATCATGTCTTTGCTGTTCTCTACAACGAAGACATATCTTGTGAGATTTTGCTTCTTGTACACGATCTTAGGAGTAGTGTCAGCGATCTGATTGCTATTCAGGTTATTCTGGATATTGGAAACTCTAAAATCCTTATGGTTGATGATGACATCCAGGACACTACGTCTATCGCACATAAGGTTATGCTTGGTTGGTGCAAGCCGGTCATGATTTCCTTCATCGCAGAACATGGAGATAGAAGGAGCTTCGGCAGCAAACATGATAGAAGCTCTTGCGTTTGGGTCGACCATCTGAGTCTTGTTGTAGGGTGCGTTTGGTTTTGAACTGCAGATCCTGGAACGAAGGGAAGATACTGGTTAGAAAGAGATAAACAAAGATTAAGCAAACAATTCTAAGAGTTAGGATCACGAGTAAATAATATACATACCCATTATCACGGATAGGTAGATCAGAGCATCCAGTAACTTTGGCATGTTTGTTGACATCATCATAGTAGCAGATCGGGAAGATTGGGTCATTGTAATAGCCTTGCTCTTCAAATACTCCATAGCGGTACTTTGCGAACTCCTTTACTAGAAGACGAGCTGGAAAGAAAAATGAATCTGAATTCTGCATTTAGGTCAAATAACTTTGAATCTTCTCTTCAAAACGGAAGTTGATAGTAAAGTAAAAACGTTAAATGCAGCAAATCAGGACGGTAGTACCCTAGTTAGATTCAATGAATTTCTCCTTCAATTAATTTTGAAAGAACTTGTTTTTCAAAATGTTTTTAAAAAATTTACGTCTCAAGTACGCCACTGACATCGTGTAAAAAAGTTACTACTCACCAAGAATACCACTTCCCGCGATCAGTGCCTCATGTCCCAAGTAAATCTGATCTCCTGGCTGGCCGCATCCCAGAGATTGCTGTGTCCAGATGGAACCTCTAGCGGCATCGCTTGGCAGTACCGTAACGTCTGAAGTCTCTCCAGCGGCTCCAAGAACCGTCGACGGGGCACAGGAATCGTTCCAGTCGGAAGGAAGTAGTACGGTGACTGACCGCAAGAAAGCGCGACTATCCAGTGCGGAGAAGAGGTACTGCGATGCGGTAGTCAACGTTGCCTGAAAAAAGCGAGGTTGTCAGATTTCGTACTTACGTAAAATTCTAAAGTTCATTTATTCACTCTAACAGTGAATTTAAAAATACATAATTAAACCAATATGCTATGATACTGTGGTCTACGTCTCTTTATCAACACTGAGGGGTACAGTCAAAATCGTATCAAAGTTGTCTAATTTTAATCTGTAACTAAACCTTCATCCCTTCTGTCTGTTGGAACTGTTTGTTAATGACATGACACATGATGAAAAATAATTCTGAATACAGGGCCACAGCATTTGTTACCCAAACGCCGTATCCATAACAACCGCCTTACCAACATGTCATCAAGGCGACTAATTTTGATCCATGTAACATGTTTGTTAGGTACAAATCTGTCAGATAGATGAAACTCGAGTATATATGTATGATCAATCCAGTGATGCTGATACAAAAGTCGAACAGGCAACACTGTTTAGTTCCGGTGTAGGGTTACTGTAGGGTACCACCGACTGTATAAAGCAATGTTAAAACAACAATCGCATAGGAAGTGATGCGTTAACTTTTATATAGCGAGCCCACTGCGCATAGAGTATAATTCCTGAAGCTTCACACGATTCTCATTATTTAGTATACTGCTTTAGGAAACATATAATTTTGCACGGGAATGTGTTGAAAGGGTAGCAAGGATTGTACACGTAAATCGATTTTGGATACATTCACGCCTCTGGCCATCCATGAGCATTTGTTAAGATAATGCGATAATAAATTCGTCATATAACGTGCTTAACGTCTATACGTAAATTATGATTTGCACTACACTGTTTTATTATCTTTCCTTACACAGAAAAAAACATGACCAACAAATCACTTTTTCATGTCGTTATAGTGTGACCCATTAACCGGGTTAAAATATGGAACCACCATCGCACCTCAGACCACAGGCTCTATCAAAACCATTATCATAAACATCAACGCTTGATAGTCTTGCTGACTTGGAAGACGCGCTAAAAAATGCTCATTTGGCATTTAATCGTAAACTACGTCACACTAATGACTTAAACCGTTAACATCATCAACATATTAGTGGTCATATACTTTAATATATGCAAATGAGATTAAAATCTTGTTACACGCCCAAAATTGTCACCCAGCTGTGAGCGGAATGATTCTCAGAAATCCTCTGTGCAATTAAAAGTCCGCCTGTTTTTAATATTCAGTGTTTATGAAAGAACGTCAACTGTATATACCACCTACATAATCCCCGAGTGGACCACCCCGATTATATTATTGCTGGAATTATACTTTCAATCGTCAAAAGATTTGAGTAGCTCAATGCCCTTGTCTCAAGGTTTTTTTAGACAGCCCTAGTAAAACATAAGCATCGGAGGATGAACGGATAGAGTACAGTTACTGAGTTTTCGTTCATTATCCTATCTGAGACCAAGCCTAGAGCACAGTGATGAGTTGCTAAGGAGCACGAAACAGCTGTCCATGGGCGGCCGTCTGTGGTTGAACAATTGAAAGCTGTATAACTTGCTTAACTGTCTTATGTTTCATCGTCGTTTACAGTAACGCCTCAAAATATATGAAATCCTTAACAAATTAGTTGAACCTTAACCCGTGCTCAATAACTGTAAAATATCAAAAACGTTCTCATTGAAAAATATTTGGACACTTATAAGTAGCGTGGGAACTATAAATTTCGTTATCCTATCTGAGACCAAGCCTAGAGCACAGTGATGAGTTGCTAAGGAGCACGAAACACCTGTCCATGGGCGGCCGTCTGTGGTTGAACAATTGAAAGCTGTATAACTTGCTTAACCGTCTTATGTTTCATCGTCGTTTACAGTAACGCCTCAAAATATATGAAATCTTTAACAAATTAGTTGAACCTTAACCCGTGCTCAATAACTGTAAAATATCAAAAACGTTCTCATTGAAAAATATTTGGACACTTATAAGTAGCGTGGGAACTATAAATAAGCATGAATCCTGTGACGTACTTTGAAAAATCTAATCGCATTGACAGCCTAAAAGTGTGAATATTGCAGATCGACTAAAACAGATACCTCTTGTGCTTAATTAGAATTTGAAACAAAAAAGCCTGGGAAAGTAGCACATAAAGACGAGAGAACGTTAAGAATTTAACTAGTCTGCATACGAAACATACAACATTGATTGGCAGGTTTCGGTGCATATGCTTGCACGCGATTGGATTTATTTTTCAACTGAAAGCAATGTTTTTACCATAGCGACCGAAGATGTTCGGTATACGTGAGTATGGGTCACGACTTTGCTCTTTTCATGGCATACGTTTCAACGTTCGTGAGCCCAAGCGTATCTTCCATGTACGGTCTGCTTTTATTTTTAGCTCTGAATTTTTTCAAAAGAACTTTACATGATATTTTGTCCTGTTGAAACACATCTATACGTAAACAAAGTTTTGTTTTCCACTTTCTACATTCGAACACAATTGTGTGTTGTTAATTTTTATGGTACTTTTTATTTAGGTATATCGGATCAATATGAGAGGCTAATTTCCAACCTCTATTAATTAAACGGAGGACTGTGATGATTTCCCCTTAAAAAACTAATGAACAACTAGGTACTAAAGTACAGAAGAAAGAATAAAACTCTTCCATGTGTATTTGCTGAGAGAATCGTAGTGTTCAAATGTTCCAGGATACCCTGTTGAAAAAAGTGCAAAAAAATAATGCACTGCAAAAATGAGTTCAAAGTCACATTGTTATCGATATATCCCGAGTGTAGTATGCCTTTTCTGTTTCTACAATACCAACAGCGTAAATTCACAGAATAATGTGATAAAAAAAATAATAATAATAGCACTAATAATAATAAAAAAAATAATAATAACAATAATAATAATAACAATCGTAATAATGTGTAATTTAGAAAAAGATGCAATGTGGTTTAGACCATAAACAGTAAAATTACATAAAAATCCACCAAATTTTTATTTTTTGTGCTAAATTCCAGGACATAAAAATTATGGAGTGCCAGATAAACGATGTAACACGTCCTCGCACGATAATCTAGTCCTATTAGATGAGTTTTACAACACCTAAGAAGTTGACGGTACTGTGAACGTGTCATTTGTTTTATGCGGTTTTATTTCCTCCAAAAACTGAAAAGTGAAGTGAAATTTTGTTGAAACTCTGTGCTATTTTTAGAGTATGCCTCTTTTTTTGGACAAATTTAGAATGTGATTCCGCCTTGTTGCTGTATTTGCTTGGGTTCCATTGATCATTAGTGCTTAATGTGGATTGTGCTAATGGCTCATCGCACACAAAGCAAAGGTTGGTGTTGGCTTTTACCTTCTTACAATTGTTTGCTTTTATTTTTGGCACCTAACATTAACGTAAAGATCTTTTCATATACTACGACTGATTTTATTCCTAGATAGATTCAAAATGTACTTTGTATTCCTATGGGATGCCCCACTTGGAAGTAAATTCGTATTGTAGTAATTTGAGTTTTTTTTTATTGGTTTGCATTTAATATGCTCGTTTTTTGTAGTTGAAAGGAGTATGATGCCAAAGCTATTTCATATGTTAGAAATAGGTTGGAATTCCAATTCCAGATTTTAAGTACCGTGATTATTCAGAATATATTCCATCAGCTATAAAATTTGAGCTTGTACTATTCGGGCAAACAATTAAAAGAACTTGTTCAATGATATATTAAGTTGATGCTTCTTTTTTCTAAAATAAACTGCTTAACAAATTATGTAAAAAGATAACCAAGCACATATATAATATCATAGCATATCAAGTAAAGACTAAATAATATATAATGGGATATCATGAACAACGTTGCCAGAAACTGTTATGTATTTCAAAATAAATTAATTCTGGATATTTCGGAAAATTATGTTTGAAATATACAGTAAGTGTTGTGTAAGATTATTACATAACATAAAGTTGCTTACAAAACTACCTACGATAAATAATGTATTATCATTATTTTCCCATCGATATACATAAGTACTAAAAAACCAACGCTGCATTTTAGTTTCACATAAGTACTTGAAGAAATAACAACCATTGGAAGCGGAACGAGGCAAAATTTTGCAGGTCTGTGTTATTATTAGCTTCGACCAATTGACAAGTATTTTTTTTGGCCGTTCTGAATGAAAATCGATCATATCTCAACCGTCATCGTGCTAAACACCTCAGAGAGATCCCAACACATTTAAATATCATATTGTTGCTGAAAACAAATGAGGACGTCCGCTATACACGAAATACCACGCTGAAACGAGTAAGCATCATCGCAACAAGTGCCAGAAAGAGACAACAAATTAGAAACTTGAAATCGTGGGATTGTTATTAACCAAACACAACCTTGTAGCGCCCATCCTTAATTTGTATGCAGGTGATAAATGATGAGTAAACAGTCCTGTTGACTTTCAATTGTTGGAAGCGTTGTTACTACGGTTCTCTTGTACGACTCGATGCATCAAAGATGTTCACACGCATTTATGCACCAAGTTTCTGTTCTTATCGCTCGTCGATATCTCTTATGCGGTAAGGTTTTGGTTTGAATCGATTGATTTGACCAAAACAGATCATAGTTGGTCAGTTTTGATCTTGCAGAGTGAAAATTAGGGTATAGGCGAGGCATGAAGAGATGTTAAAATGACAGGTTTGGCCATAGTCACGTACTAACGGTTGCCGTAGAAATGTCTACTGAGGTGTGGCACTCGAAGATATACTGATACTAGGAGGGATCATTTTTCAACAATTTCTCGAATTACATGGTGTGGTCGAAACGCACAAGTCGTATGGTGGAGAATATAAACTAAAATTCTCGAATGGTTTTAGCAAAATATGACTGATGTCTAGCATGTAGCTGTTTGTATTTTTCCATGTTTTTTATTTCTATCTTTATGAATGTATAGTACTACTGTTATTTTGTACTAGGTACTGAAAAACTGTAATTTCGGATGTTCTTGGGCCGCATGTGTTTATTTTATTAATGTAACACATAAAGTAATGCA